CGCGGGCCGGGCGCGCTGGGGGCCCGAGGGCGCCTCTCGGCTTCCCACTGCGCTTCCCCGCAGCTCCGCCGCGCCTGGTGGCGCGCCCGGGACCCCGGCAGACACCCCGAAGCCTGAAGTCTCTGCCTGCGCTCCTCCAGCTGTGGGCTTCCGCGTCCGCCTGGCCTCGGCGGCCGCCCTCCGGCTGCGGGTGGACTTCGGGGACCGTCTGGGGGCGGAAATACGGCTGCGCAACGTGACCCGGGCCGCGGCGGTGACCGCCTTCCACCAGTACGGGCGAGGTGGGCGCCCTGTGCTTCCCGGCGGGCAGGCTCCGGGCCGGGGCAGAGCGGCTCTGGGCGGGAGGCGAGGAGGCGCGCTCCGACCTTGCGCCCCGACCGGCCTGGTGGCGCCGCGTGCCTGGACGCCTGTGTGCTCGCGTCAGGCCTGCAGCCTCCTCTGCACGGTCCCGGCTCTCACTCCGCCTTCCCAGCGCCCTGCGGCTCCCCGGGGTCCTGGCCGCGCGGGCGAGAGCGCAGAGCCGTCACCCCTGCGGAACCTCTGCCGCTGTCCCCCAGGCACACGCAATAGCTCACGCGAGTTCTTCTGTGCCAAACTCCCAGCACTTACTGTGTCTCTAATCCATTTTCACGTTCACCTGCACAGAGACCAGCAAAGTAGGGCTTGTCGTCCTTCGATTTTCCCCAGTATCTGCGGTTGTTTCCTTGTACCCTTTTTATGTTGTGTTTTATTTTTCTCTTCTTTTTCTTGACTGAGCTGAGTGAATTTTCATTCATTTCTTTAAAGAATATTCATTTCTTTCAAAGCTCAGTTTTGATTTGGGGGCTTTGTTTGCTCCAGGTTTTCTCCTAGTTTATTAATTCACGATCTTCGCTGTCTTCCCCGTGCCTTGTGTTGTTCTTTTCCTGTCTTCCACGCTGGACTGGGCGCTTACCTTGAACATTCCCACTCAGGCTCTTTCCCTTGTGTTTTGGGTCCCGTAGTCATTTCTGTTCCCAAGGCAGCATAACGAGCAATTTTTCTCTGTACTACCTGGAGCCAGGAAGTCACATGAAAGTCCTGCTGTGTGGATGGGGAGGCGGGTAGGGGTGAGGCCTTTTATTTTGGGGATCTGCCATAATCACCCTCCGCCCCTCTACTGGGAATCGAACTCATGACCTCCCGCTTGCCAGGCAGGCACTATGCCGCTGAGCTAAATCCCCAGCCCCTCCTAATTCCTCTTGATAGGTCCCATTTGGCTGTTTCTCTCTCCCGCTTCCCCTCCCCTTCTCCTCGCCCTGCCCCTCCCCCTCGGGCTCGCTCTCTCACCTGGCTATGGGATGATAATACCTATTTGCATCCTGTTCCAGGCTGGCTGCATCATCCTTAGGGAATGGCGGAAAACATTCAGTGCTCCTTGCTTACAAAACAAAACAAAAAGGTGCTTTATTGATTCAGAATTCACCCAGCAGAGCGTTCAGCTTCACACGTCCCCGTGCTCTCCATGGGCCGCGTGCCCTTGGCGTGGCCTTGCCGCTGTGGGGATGAGAAGTCCCCTCCCCCCTCATGCCCCTGTGGCCGCAGACCCTGGCTGCGGTGCTGTCTGAGAATTCACGATGCCCGTTCTCTCGTTTCCAGAGGGCATCTACGCGCTCCGGGCAGCTGTTTGTGGGCACCAGGGACCGGAAGTGGAGCTTGGGCCTTACTACGTGGCCGCAGGCCACAGGGCCGTGTCTGTGCTCATGAATTCCAGCAGCGTCCACCAGGACGAAGTCCTTGTGTTCTCAGACTCCCACCCAGGGCAGAAAAGTAAGCGCGGCATCTGAGGCAGGGCAGCTGGGCCTGCGCTGTGAGCACAGCCCAGCTCCCTCTCTCCTCTGCTCTGAATACAGCGGCCGAGTTATCCTGATCCGAATTCGACACAACCGCCATCACTCACTCTTCCCACTTTAGAAAATAGCTCTTGCACAACACTGAGCTCACGGAGGTGAAATCACAGAGGCCCTGGCCTGGAGGATCTTGTAACCTAGTGAAGGTGCTAAGATACGCAGAGGGCAGAGGACAGGACACAGGACTGGAGGGGGCCTGGCCGAGGGGCTGGGAGGCTCCGGCGGGGGGCATCGTGTGCTGTGGGGACAGCGGAATGACCCGAGGTAGGAGGCGGCTCGTGTGTCACGCTGTGAGGACAGGTGTCCGGGACATTCTGCACAGATCTGCCACAGCCAAGGCCAGGGCTGAGGAGTGCCGCTGCGTTCTCGAAGGGTGTCGGGAGTCTCTGGCGTCCCTGAGTGTCCTCACATCATGTCGGGCTTAGATCTCAGAGTCCCTGAGAGCCACATGTGCTGCAGGCAGGGCTTGTGGAAGGTGGGGCCTGACCTGAAGCTGGGGGTCAAGGGTGTGACCCGGAAGGGTTTCTCTCCCTCTAGGGCTCCTCCCTTCTGTCACTGCCTGGTCTCCATGACGTGAGCAGTTTGCCCCACCAAACCTGCTGCCAGGCCTTCCTGACCTGGAGCCGGCTGAGCATGGACCAAAGCCATGAGCCAAAGTAAACCTCTCCCCCTTTAAACTGTGGGTTCCAGGGTGTCTCAGCGACGAGAACGTGACAGACAACCCACCCCGCACCTGCCACACACCTGCACGCGTGCCGCTCCCTTCCTGGCCGGCGTGTAGGGGGACCCAAAGTCAGAGGCCGGCAGGTGGCAGGAGAGGGACTCTAGCCAAGAGTTCTGGAGGAAGATCCAAGGGCCAGGCCGGGTCAGAGATAACCCAGGGTGCAGCGGAGCGGGTGGGACTGTGGGCAGCGTATCCCAGAGGCAGGCAGGAGGAGGAGCTGGGGGTGTGGCCCTTGTAAGTTGTTCCCACGCTGGCCGCTCGTTCTCCACGCAAGAATCATCCACACCAAGGGAAGGTGGTCGGCCACCTGTCTGGCTGGGTGTGTCTTCTCTAAACTCTGTGCGGGTGAGCAGCCGCCCAGCCAGCGCTGCTCTGCCAGGGTTCAGAATCGGGAGGTCTGGGCTGTACTCCTGCCCGCTGCACTGAAAACTGGGGAAGCTCGCACAAACCCACGAGCTGCACTGTCTTCAGGTTTCTTTGACTGCCAGGTTGGGGTCAGAATTAGTTTTTACTCTGTGTTCACGAGACCCTGTCACTCTTACTCATGGGACAGGTTTCATAAATTCTGGTGGGAGGCTGAGGCAGGAGGAGTCCTGTGAGTTCAAGGCCAGGCCAACCTGGGCTACATAGCAAGACCCAGTCTCAAACAAACAAACAAATGTTCTGTGTGCATTGGTGAAGAACAAAATAATCATTCTACCTTATCTCTGTCATAAATAAGCATTTTCTCTTTATAAAGAAAAAAGCTATACAGAAGATCAGTGGTCATCACAAAACATTCTACCTCCTTTCTGAATATCCCTTTGGGATGACGGAGGTGTTTCAGATCACAGCCCTCTCTTGCGACCTGACTCAGTGTTCAGTGTCTGCCTCCCATACATACATGCACGTGTGTGGTGCACGTAGGTGTAGGGGCGTATAAGTGTGTACACGCACACACAGGTGTGTGCAAGATACAGAGTGACATGTAGAGGATGTCAGGGCACGAGGCCCCTCCTTGACTGCCACCGAGGGCCTGGATACCGAGTCCCGCGTGGAGACATGCTTTTCACGCGAGGCCGCCTGCGTAGCAGTGAACATGATCCAAGGGTGTTAACTTACTCTCGACTATGCGGAGAGTTCGGCGCAGAGGCAGAGGAGACACTCACAGGAGATCTTCCGGGGAGAGACCCGGGGCAGAGCCCCTCTTTCCGCAGCCTGTCTGGTTTCAGCGGGCGTGCTCCAAACCTCGAAAGTTGCAGGACTTCCGGCAGGGACTCTTAAGCTTTGCTGTGTGTTGCTCGCGGTGGAGATGCGCGGCTGGGCAATGCTGAGTTAACGTTGAAGTTCTCTGTCCTCTGTGCTTCTTCTCGTCCTAGGCCCTGTGGTCATGCACTGCCTCCCCCGGGTCGCTTCCTACAATGTGTCGTTCCTGTCGCGGGCCCAGGCGGGCTGCAGCCAGGCCCGGCCCAGCGTGACCGTTCGGTACCAGATGCAGCGTACGTGTCTGTTCCCGCTCCGGGCGTAGCAAATCCATTCCGTGTCAGGAGCCCCACCTGAGCCCAGGGCAGCCCGGGTCCTGAACCCCAGCAGCTTGTCTTTGTCCCTGCCTGTGAGCTGTCCTGATGGCTTCGAGCTCTGCCACACCTCGCGTCCGACCCCGCGCCCCTGCTTCGTCCCTGTGGCCGTAGACCAGGCGGGGCCGGAGGTGCTGAGAGCTGGGCAGACCCCAGCCCCTCCACGGGCACAGAGGCGCTCTTCCCTCTCTGTTGCAGCCGTCTCTGTCTACACAAACGGAACTGTGTTTGCCACGGACACGGACATCATCTTTGTGGCTGTTACCAAGGAAACCACAGCCCTGGAGTTCACGTGGCACTTTGGAGATGGCCCCCCAGTGAGGACAACCTCCAGAAGCATCCGGAGGCGGCTCGCAGTGCCCCAGTGGTCAGTGGCCTCAGACGTCGTGACAAGGGCTGGCAGGGGCGGTGCGGGGTCACCGCTGCCAGCAGTGTAAAGTTAGGCGTGTCCTGTCCACTGTGTAACAAGCCACTCAGCACTTCTGCAAATTGAGCTCAGCTGAGAGAATTAAAGGAGAGGCGTAGGCTGCTGCGGTGCACACCTGTAATTCCAGCAGTCTAGAAAGCTGAGGCAGGACAATCACGAGGGGTTTATTTATTTATTTATTTATTTATTTATTTATTTATTTTTGAGACAGGGTCTTGCTATGTAGTTCAAGTGGCCATGCTGGCCTCAAACTTGTGACAGTCCTCCTGCTTCGGCCTCCCGCGTGCTGGAATTACACACGTGCACCACTGTACCCACTGATCACAAGTTGTAACTAAGCCTGGGCAGTGTAGTCCTCGTGAGACCCTTTCTGGAATTCAAAAAGAAAAAGATTTCGAGGAAGGGGCCTCGCTTCTCCTCTGTGTGCTCTAAGTAGAAGGGTGCGGGCTCTGGGACCAGGCAACCCTGAGTCCCTTGTCTCTGCCATGCTGCGATGGAGGCCCATCCTCCATAAAGGAGGCCCCGGTGCCACGCCCTGCCTGAAGATGTAACTGAGGAACGCGGGAGAGGCCAGAACGCGCTGTCCCCATCCCCAGTGAGGAGCCCGTCACCGGGCAGGAAGCAGGTCCTAGCACAGCCCGGCCACCCTCTGCTGGCGCTGGGTGGGGCTCTCTGCAGCGGAGCTCTGCGCCCGTCTTCCCACTAGGTACCGGGTGACAGTCACCGCTGCCAGCGGGATGGCTCGTGTGGTCTCGCCGCCCCACGTCCTCAAGGTGCAGCGGCGGGTCGAGGCCAGTCGGCTGGTGTCGGCCCCCACGGCGCTGGTGAGCAGCAGCGTGGCCTTCGAGTGCAGAGTCAGCTTCGGCACGGATGTGGCCTTCCGGTGGGACTTCGGGGACGGCACCGTCAGCCCCGGGAGCGGCTCTGCCAGCCACATCTACAGCAGGTGAGGCCGCGGGCGGGGGCCGCGTCTCGGTTGGCACAGGCGTTAGACGGGGATCCGTCCGTCCGGCTGTGGGGACGTCGAGGTGGGAAAGGCCCAGAGGGAGAGAGGTGCCCGCCACGGAGCTTCCTGCCACAGCAGGGACGCACCGCGCAGTGGGGACGGCCTGCTCTGCCTCAGAGGCAGAGACCATTCGGGGCGTTTGCACCGGACAGGAGGGGCCACTCGGGGCTGCAGGCCACAGTGCGGGAGGGCGAGGAGCCCATGGCCGGGCAGCGGTCCCCAGAGGCTGGGGAGAGGCCTCCGGTCACAGAGGCGGGCAGAGAAGACCGAGGTGCCGGGCAGATTGCACAGGGCTCCGGTCACAGTGAAGGGTGCAGACACACGTCTTTAATCTGGCTTTTACAAAGCGTTATGGAGATACAGTCGTGTGTCCCTTCACGGCCAGGGTACACCTGAGAAATGTGCCATCTCTCAGTCGATCTGTCATCCTGCCCAGACGGTGTACGCGGTCACTTGATGTGGCCCCTGGACGCAGTCAGGGGACGGACAAGGCCGATGCCAAGGTTCCTGCCGGGGAATGGGGGGCATATCTTGGGGAGCTTTGCGTTTAGTAAATTGGGGCAGACGCTGGAGGATGGTGGAAGTGTAGCACAGTGGACGGGACAGCGACAGGGTCGCCCGTCAGGATCACCGGGCATCACGTCCTGTATGTGACTCCGCGTGCTACAGCTCCATGCGTCCGAGAGACGGTGGTCATGTTTACGCCGCGTGTGCTGACCGCTGCATCGCTAGACACAGGCGTGGCCGAGCCCTGTTAGGGTCTTACGGGACCAAAGTGCCATTATGCCGCGTCCAGCGACATGAGAAAGAGGTCCGGCCGCCTCTGGCTAAAACTCCAGTGGCCATTCCCGCAGGGGTGGCCCGGCCCATGGGAAGCCACAGACTTGCACGCTTCAGTATCAGGCTCATGGTCCCGTGCGGACCAGCCCAGTGGCTGGCTCAGGGGAGTTCCGGGCCCTGAGCGGAGGAGACCTCCCTGTGGTGTCCGGGCCGATGGCCGTGAGGGCTGACAGAGAGGGACTCGGCTCAGCCTGGCGGGGCAGCCTGTGCTGCTGCAGGGACCATGGTGCGTGGTGTCCAGACAGATTCAGGACTTCGTCACTGGAAGCAGTCTCCCGTGCAGAGGGACTGAGCTAGCGTGGCTTGGCGTGGACGCCTGTACCTCGGCACCTGCTGCGTGCTCTGGCTCCCTCCTGCCACCTGGAAACGACAGGGCACATTTGGGGCCATCGCTGGTGTTTGTCCCGGGCACTCCCGCACCCCCGCCTTCTTCCGGGAGCTCTGGACGGCAGCCAGGTTGCGTTCCAGTCCTTGGAGTATCCAACATGTGCCTGCAGGACAGAGCGGTCCTTCTGCCTCAAATCCCATAGTTTTGGACCAGGTTGCACCACTTCCCGATCAGTGTGCATTTCCTTAGCAGAAACAGGGCGGCCAGCCCAGGCGCTGCCCGCTGTGACCCTCACCGCCGGGTGCACTCGGGCCAGGCCGGGCCCTGTCCCGCTCTCCTGAGCCATGCGGTTGTCGGGACGTCTGTCTCCTGAGCTGAGATGAGAGCAGGTTTCAGGGAGCCTCTGGCGCGGGTCGGGGGTCCCTCACAGAAGGAAGCCCTGGGGGCCCATGGCCGAGCCGGGGCTGCCCAGAGCCGCATGCCATTGCCTGGGTTTGTCATTTGGAGCGGGTGACATCAACCTGGGCTCGGCCCACCGGGGCAGGCAGCTGGCCCATCGATCAGACAGCCAGTGGAGAGCCACTGGGACCCTGGCCTGCTCTGCCCGCCCCCTGGGGCTGGCCTGCCCCCAGAGACCGTAAAGACACCATTTTGGGGTGTTGTGAACAAGGCTCGGTGCCTGACCGGGTCATCCTCAGTCTCTGGTCTCCGCTCTCGGCCCATGCAGGGAGGGCGAGTTCACAGTGCGGGTCCTGGCCTTCAACGACGTCAGCTCTGCCGCCCTGAGGACGCAGCTTTTTGTCGTGCGCCAGCCCTGCCAGCCGCCCCCCGTGAAGAACATGGGGCCCGAGAAGGTCCAGGTAGGACGGGCGAGGCCTCCGGGGACCAGAGGGCTGGGGGGTGCACAGGAGCCTCGTCCTCTGGCCCAGCCGGGAGCAGCGGCCCGCCCTGTGCGGGGCAGCGGGTGCAGAACGGGGCCCTTACTCCCTGTGTGGCTCGGGCATCCCGCGCCCTTCGTTGGCTTGAAGGGGCAGGCGGTCCTCTTTTCTATCCTTTTTCTTCTTCCTTCTGTCCTTCCTCGCTTTCTTCCTCTCCTTTCCTTCCATTCTTCCTTCCTTCCTTCCTTCCTCCCTCCTTCCCTCTCTCCATTTCTTGCTTTCTTGTTTTTCTTTTCTTCTTTTTGATGTCATGAGATCTGCAGCGTTTTTTAGGAGAAAGGGAAATTTCACACCAAAATGAAAAGGAACTATCAATTGTTGAGTGCCAACTATAGATTAGAAAAAGGGGTTTTGTTTTGTTTTTTCAAGTTTCTTGCATTGCGTGGAGGCCCTGGATTGAAAGTACCAGTTCTTCTCAAGGCAAAAGCGCTCAGACAGCGGCGGGAATGGAGCCCGTGCCTGGACATGCGACCAGGCTGTTTATGACGGGCAGAGAGCCCGAGGTCACTCGGCCAGGGGTGGAGGGCGGGCGCTGTGAGTGGCCGGGGCAGGTGCATCCTCCCTGTGAGACCTCGCTCCCCTCAAGCCTCATGGGCACCAAGGCTTTGGTGTGGATGCCCTGGGTGCAGGATGGGCCGGAACTGGAGCGGACCCAGGAGGAGGCGCGGCTGGGCAGGGCACACGCCTGTGGTGCTGAGCCCCGGGCCTGGCCTGGGTTTTTAATTTGTAAGATTGTGTTGGTCCGCGTTTGCAGTGCCCCGAGACCACGTAAGGGGCTCACCCTTCTGACCGCTCCCGCAAGCCTCTGCGGCGCCCCACCTCCCCGCTTCCACCCTTTCATTTATTGAAACTGTGGGTTTCTGTAGAGGAGAAACGGGCCGTATTTAAGCGAGTATGTCTGATTTTTTTCACCTTACGTGATGGTTGCAAGGTGTAGCCATCTTATTCTTTTTAAAATTTACTTATTTATACATAAAGACAGAACATTGTACCTACCCATGAGTGTGGCTTTTTAGTCTATGTAACATTTTCATTTGAGTGTTTTTGTCAATGAAACCAAGAAAACAATACGGATAACTCCATTGTTTCTTTACCTTTTGTTTTATACATTTCCTAAATTGATAAAGAAAAAGTGGTTGGATGTATTTACCATGCATAATTTTTCTAAGGCCTTATATGTGGGCTGTGTGTATACGTGTGCTTGTGAGAGTGTGTGCTCATCACAAAACTGGGATTGCTGGGCTAAGGGTGACCATTTACTCTTATTTATTTTTAAACTGTTATTCATTTATTTATTTAATGGCACTGGGGACTGAACCCAGGGCCTTTGCACTGAGCTGCATCCCCGGCCCTTTTTATTTTTTATTTTGAAACAGTGTCTCTAAGTCACCCAGACTATGCTTAAACTTTCAATCCTCCTCCCTCAGCCTCCCTGAGTGCTGGGATAACTTGATTATGCAGAGGTAAAGGCAGGGCAGTACAGTGTGAAGTCATGGGCACAAATCCTTCGTCATTTACCAGGGCCCTCCTGCCTGGCACTGGTGTCCCATTTTCTGTCTCTGCGAATAATGGGCAGCGAGGGTTCTGCCCGTCCTTCCACTCCCCGTGGCTTCTCCCCAGGGAGTCACCCCGGCATCCAGAGCCCGCTGGCAGGACGGCTCTCCCTGGACCTTGGCGGGTCCTGCCGCGCCGTGCGGTGTGGCCGCACGTCGGGATCCAGGGACGGCTCTGGCCGCTGGCAGCTCAGTGGGTGTCCCCGGAGCCGGTCAGTGTCAGGACCCAGGCTGGGTGATGGCCTCTCCAGAGCAGACATTAAATTATGACAACAGCCACCAAAGAACCGCGAAGGTGAAACTCCTGTTTGAGTGAGCGCCAGTATCCCTTAAAATCCCGTTTCCTGACTGCTCCAGAGGTTTTCCCTTGCTAATTTCTATGGTACTTCCAGAGGATGAAGGTCTGCGGGGAGCAAGAGAGGATGGGTCCCCAGCCGGGACAACCTTACTGAGGGACAGGCCGGCAGGGCGCTATGGGCTGTGAGCAGAGCGTGTCCCTGTAGCCATGTCCTCTTTCGGTTGGTGTTCACGGTGTGTTTTCACACATCCGTGAGCTAGAATTTACATCAAGTTTTTTGTTAGGGAAATTCTTAAGTATGGGTAGAAGTAGAACAAACCCATCTCCTATGGCTTCCACACTGAAATGGGCCACTTTGAACTTTCAAAGATAATATCTAGTGGGGTGTATTGATGGATACCTGTATCCCAGCACTCGGGAGGCTGAGGCAGGAGGGTCACTGCGAGTTCCAGGTCAACCTGGGCTGCATAGTTGGTTCCAGGGCAGCCTGAACTGCATAGTGAGACCCTGTCTCAAAAAAACCAAATAAACAAACAAAAAACCAAAAACACTAAAGTTTTTATAGCTACACATTTTTAGTATTTAGAGGTCAAATGTCATGATTTCTGAGAGTGACTTGAGAATATTTTAGAACAGAAAAGTAGAGTAAATCTCACTCACATATACTGCAAATAATTTTGTTTCTTGCATCTTACATTTTACTTTTCTTGTATTGGGGATCAAACCCAGAGAGTGCCCAGCTACGTCCTCAGGCCCGCTAACATACCTTTCTTTGGAGACGAAGTCTCACAAAGCTGCTCAGGGTCGCCTTGAACTCGTAATCCTCCTACCTCAGCCTCCCCAGGAGCTGGGATTGCAGGCGTGTACCACTGCACATAGCTGAATTTTACATTTTTGACATTCAGAAGTTTGAAATTTTTATGTAATCGAATCTAGTAATGCTCCCTTTTGATATTTCTCCATTAATCTTACGCTTGGAAAGTGTTTTTCCTTTACAACTACGTACGCGTAACTGCTTAGTTTTTCCACGTTTACTTTTGTGTAGAAAATACACAGTCTTTGTTTCGGCGCTGCCTGAGGTTCAGCCCTGGGTCCCATCCTAGGAGAGCTCAGGCAAGGCGCTGAGATTGCTCCCGAAATGTCCTGTCTGTCACCCCTCAGGTGCGGCGCTCTCAGCCCCTGCGGCTGGGGGTGACATTCGAAGCCGCCGTCCTCTGCAACATCTCTCGGGGCCTTTCCTACACCTGGAGGCTCACGGATGCTGAGGGGTCCCCTGTTGCCCTGCCCGCTGCCGTCGACGTCCACAGACAGACCCTCGTGCTGCCGGGCTACACGCTGGACAGCGGGAACTACACAGCCACTGCCAAGGTCAGCAGGGGACCCGGCAGGCGGGGCTGTCGGGGAACTTCAGGCTCTGCGCCTGGCCAGTGTCTGTGTGCACGCATGTATGTGTGCGTGTGGTATGTGTGCACGCCTGTGTGCATGCCCGTGCGGATGGCACTGGAATATGTTATAACCAAACCCTGGTCAATAACCCTGAGCCCCGCCCAGTTCGTCCAGCAAGGCCTTCATCCTTTCCCTCAGCCGGCCCAGGGGGTCCAGAGAGGATTTGCCGTTGCGTTGGGATCAGGGACCCCAGAAGGAATAGGGGCGTCCACCAGAGGCCAGGGCCGCAGGAGGCAGCGCCATGACCCTAGGATCAGCCGGTGCACAGCGCAGCTTGGTGGGGAGTGGGGAAAGTGCATGCGCGAGGAGAGGGGTCACTTCCAGGAGGGTCCTGAAAACACAGTGGGAGGCAGCTGCTGGTGGGGTATCCTCACTGGGTCCCCGCAGGCTGAGGGGGTCACCTGAGACCAGGGCAGAGACCCCAGCATCTCTACCAGGGAGGACGCTGCTGTGTGACCCCTGTGAGTCCCAGCTCAGACCCCGGACCTCTGCTGGGGGTGGGGACAGGGCCCTTCCATCCTCACAGGGCCAGTCGGGTGTAAAGGACGGCCTTGGGGTGGGGGACGAGCATGTGTCCCAGGGACAGACTGGCACGATCCGGGCAGCTGGAGTGAGCTGTGAGGCTGCGTGGCTGGCAGGGAGCGGCGCCCCTGCTTCCCAGTGGGAGCCCGTGCCTGCGGCATTGGTGTGGGGAGGGAGAGAAACGCCCCCGAGCTTAGACTCCGCGCCCCTCCTCGGCTGGGTTAGGGCCGCTGTCCTGGGCGGGTCACATCCCGCCAGGGTCTGAGGTGCTGAGCAGGCACCGAGGGGCAGCTGGTGGGAGTCGGGTTTCTGAGGGTGATAGTGACTGCTGTCTCAGTGTGGGAGCTGTGCCCGGAGGGCAGGCTGTGAGCAGCTGTCCAGCCAGGGGAGTCAAGGGGGAGGAGGGGTGCAGCCTGTACCCCAAGAGGACAGGGTGGGAGAGCTGTGCCCAGGCTCCCAGCACGGGATGAGGGGGGAGAGGCCTGAACCAAGGAGCAGTGTCCAGGGTGTCCACACAGCCCCAAAGCATCACAAGGATTTGCGCTGTTCGTTGTATTGAAGCTTAATTTAGAATAGTGGACATATTTTATCCAAGGCCTTTTTTTCCTTTGCAGTACCAGCGTCTTCACACTGAGCTCCATCCCAGGCACTTTACTTTTTTTTTTTTCTTTCAAGACAGGGTCTCGCTAAGTCACTAAATTGCCCAGGCTGGGCTCCAACTTGCCATCCTCCTGCCTCAGCCTCCCAGGGTGCTGGGATCACAGGCTGTGCCACCACACCTGGCCAAGTGTCACCATTCTTTAGGGCTATTTCAGACCCAGAAATCAGGAGGAAAAGGGCTGCCATTGTCGACACAGTGTTCCCTTTCCCTCCACCAGCTTTTCGGGTGTGAGGGTGTCAGGTGCTCGAGGGAGGCTGGGGGGATGGGTACAAGCCCGGCCAGGCCTGGCTGCGGTCCGCCTGCGGTCCGGGCTGGGCCCGAGCCCCCTGCTTGCCCACCACCTGTTGGCACAGTTCCAACACCCTCGCCCTTGGGTATGGATAGGAGCATTGATCCTACAGTCACTCTGTCCTCTCGTCCTGCTCAGGACACGACCAGCAAGAGTCATGCACATCAGTAAGAAGGAAATCCAGAATGGCAGCCAGGCGTGGTGGCGCATGTCTGTAATCCCAGCAGCCTGGGAGGCTGAGGCAGGAGGATGGCAACCTAGCCATTGAGGTAGAACCTGTCTCAAAGTAAAAACGCTAAAAGTCCCTGAGTTCAATCCCCAGGACTTTAAAAAGAAAAAAAGGAAATCCAGAATGAGTTCTATGCCCCTGGCACAAGTGCTAGACTATTTTTCCAAACTGCATCGAGCTTTTTAAAAGACCACGCTGAATGCCTTCCTTATGAGGTGTGTCTCGACTCCTAGCGTAGAAGTGTTGGTCTTCAGTTGTATGCACCTTTCTTTGAGTCGGTGGTGGGCTTAGGCGTTAGAAAGAATTGGGCTAAGGAAAGTGAAAAAGCGCAAGAGATGGCCAGACGGTGGCAGACCGACTGTGGGTGGAGGACTGAACTCCGGCTCACGGTCACTGCCCTTTGGGGCATCGCCTGGGGTCCTTCCTGCTGAGCCCATGAGGGTGACAGGCGTGCTGAGCGTGGTGGCGCACGTCTGTAATCCTGGCACTCGGGAGTTTGAGGCAGGAGGCCTCATCTTCCTCTTTTTTTTGGTACCGGGAATCAAACTCACAATCTTGCTCTTTCGAGGCAGGCGCTGCGCCGCCGAGCTGTGTCCGCGGCCCAGGAGGCCTCATCTTGAGTTTGAGGCCGGCCTGAATGACGTGGTGAGACACTGTCTCAAAAATACCAAAACAAAACAAAACCAGAAAGGAGGGGGAGAAACGCGTGACTGAACGTTTATTCTTACGCCAGCCGCAGCTCACTGGAGCCAGGGACGAGTGCACCCCCCCCACCCCCCCTTGTCCCCTTCCCAGCGCGGCCGCCCCCTGACGCCCCTCCGGGTCCCTCAGGTGCAGATCCGGGGCAGCGTGGTGCACAGCAACTACTCGCTGGGCGTGGAGGTGCGGGCCCGGGCGCCCGTCGCCGTCATCTCCGAGGGCACCCACCTCTTTGTCCCCAGGGCCGCCGGGGCGCCTGTCACCCTCAGGGGGACCCAGTCCTACGACCCCGACCACCCAGGCGCCGCTCTCAGGTGAGGCCGCTGCGCGGGACAGCTCTCTGCGATGTGGGGGGAGCTGCTCTAGAACTCCTCCGAGGCAGCCTGACGCTTCCGGCCGGCCCCAGCTCCCCAGGGGACCGTCCTCTGCCTGTGCTGGGCAGTGGGGCAGCCCTGCATGTTCAGAGCCGCCTGGCAGCAAGACATACAAGTGATGACCCGCGGTGAACGTGTCATAGGCATTAAAGCACATCTGCTTTCATAAGCTCAGCTGCTATTTAGGATCAGATTATAAGGGGTTTTAGGAAGGAGGAGTAAAATGTGAATAGCTGTTTTAGATAGTGTTTAACATATCTCTTACATATTTGAGGCAGGGTGTGGTGGCTCAGGCCTGTACTCCCAGCACTCCTGGAGGCGAGGCAGGAGGATGCAAGTTCAAGTCCAGCCAGGGCAACCTAGTGACTTAATGAGACCCTGTCTCATAAAAGAAAAAGGGGAGAGAGGACAGTGACGCAGCTCAGTGCGCCCCAAGTTCAGTCCCAGCACTTCTACACACGTGTGATTTGGAATGTGAGGTTTAACTGCTGCCCTTCTGCAAGATCCGGGGTGTGGGCCTGCACGGTCTCCTGACATGGATTCACTCCAGACCCATGCGGTCAGACCCTCTGACCCACGCGGCTGGATCCCAGCCCCACCCCAGACGCCCCAACTGCAGCCCACTCCCGCCCTGCCACCCCTTCCTGACCCGGCCTCCCTCGTCCTTCCTATCCTCACTTGGGAAACGCCTCTGGCCTCCCGGGCTTGTTCCCGTGACCATGACCGCCAGAGCATGACGCATTGGGCTGGGCCAGCTCTGCCCGCCTTCCCTCTGGACCTGCGGGGGGCACGCGTGCCCGCAGTGTCTGACTCGGGGATCCTCGCCCTGTGGGAGGAGGGGTGGCAGGGGGTGGTGCATCCAGAGCCCCCTTGGAGAAAGGGCCGCTCCCCGAGATGCCCCAGCGCACCTCCTTCCTGTCTGCGGAGGGCTGGGGACGTGGCCGTGTGACCAGGAGGGGCAGAGGTGTGAGCAGTGAGGACCCGCGTGCAGGGGGGCAGGGGTCACGGTCCCAGCTCAGAGCCACCGGCTGGCGCTGGAGAGCAGGGCGGCGTCTCCCCACGCGCGCTGACTCTGCCCCACCGGGGGGCTTCAACAGCTACCACTGGACCTGCGCCGCGGCCCGTGCGCCTGGGCGGCCCTGCTTCGACGGCGCTGCCCCACGCCAGCCGGACCCCAGGAGCCCCACCTGGTCCTTCGCAGCAGAGCGGCTCAGCAGATGCTGCGACCAGTTCCTCGTGACGCTGACGGTGGCCAGCGGGGGCCGGAGCTCTTCCGAGGCCCGGGTGTTCCTGTCCACCCGCGACGACCCAGCCTTCAGGTGCCGCCGAGCGTGCCAGCCGTGCAGGGAGCTGCCGAAGGCCGCGGGTGCACGGGCAGCGTGGGCTGGGTGACAGGAAGCAGCTGGGGCCTCGTGCTGCTCCTGCCTCTGACCGGGAGCTGGCGCACGCTGGCCGGTGGTTCGGGCGATGCGGGTCCCTGTGCTGCCCTGGGCCACGCAGAGTGCTTGTCACGCCGGCCACGCCACGGCTGTGAATGCCACAGTGCCAAGCCCGTGTGGCCGTGCTGGGTGTGCGCCCCACAGACGGGTGCGGCCAGAGACCCTCGGATGTCCTGAACATCGGCCCGCCGTCGTTGCAGACTCCTGCGCATCGCCTGGCTCGGCTTCGAGGACATCTCCGTCAGCTGGAACCAGGCGCTTTCCCTCCGCGCGGTGTGCGAGGCCTGCGGAGAGGCGCAGGGGCTCTCCTACTCCTGGGAGCTCTTCCGGGCCAACGCCACAGAAGACAGCGGGAGCCAAGGTACGGAGGTGCAGGCCGCGCCTGGGGAGGCTCAGCTCCTCCTGAGGGACTGGGATGGCGTCTCGCCTCCCTGGTACCACCTGGGCTCACCTGGTGCCTCATTCCTGCCCGGGGGTACCTGGGGCATTTCACCGAAGTCAGGGGCTCCCGGTGCCACCCCTCCCTGGCACACGTTGCGGGGGGTGCCTGCACGATACTCACTCAGGCAGTTTCCTGGGCTCACAGCCACTGTAAGCACCTGGAAGGGGCCTGGGGAGGGTGAGTCTCGCTGTCCCTGCCCCCAGACGGGGAGATTCTCACCCACCTGTGCTCCCGTTGCCCGGTGTGCAGCTTCTAACGTGCTGGCGGCTTCCTGCATGCTAATGAGCCGCTAGGTGGCGCCCCAGGTGGCTCCAGGGAGGGCCTGAGCACCAAAAGGCAGAGGCAGTGCTAGGGGCTGGGCCTGCGGGCCGTGCCATCACCCATGCTGATGCAGGGGTTCATCGTGCCTGTGTCCTGAGCGCTTCTGGAGGACCCCAGGAGGACAGGGTTTGGAGACCCGGACAGCCGAGGCCCTGGAACCTCAACACAACCAACCCGCTTTCCACCTTTCCCACACCTCGCCCCACGGTGCCCCTGCCAAGGCCCTTGCCCTGAGCCGGGGAATCTGCGCGTCTCCAGGAGTGATGGCCCATCGTGTGTCCCGCGCATTCTGTCTTTGCTCTGCATCCTTCATTGCACATTTTTAACAGTAAATTATGCAACTGCTCTAGGAGATCCTTTTGGTCAGGCTGGGGAGTCAGGAGTAGGAAAATTTCCACGAACCCAAGTTATCTGTGGAACACACAAGCGACCCGTGCTGAGACGCCTGGGATCCAGCAGGGCCCCCTCTTTTTTGTGGTATTGTGGCCCCAACCCAGCATGCTGTGCTACTGAGCTGCACCCCAGCCCTTTTTATTTTTATTTTTATTTTGAGATGGTGTCTCACTAAGTTGCCCAGGCGAGACTTGAATTTGGGATTCTCCTGCCTCAGCCTCCCTGAGTGCTGGGATGATAGATGTGAACCACCACACCCTCTGAGGGCTGCACAGAGCCGGCAGGGAACAAATTCCAGGGGGAACAGCTGTGGACCCCTTTTCCCACACGCAGACGTTTGCTGGCCCCACAACACCAGCTGAAATCCCCCCATGCCTCTGCCAGAGTGCAGCGTGCTTATTTAAGCTGTAAATGTCTAAAGAACGGATGCTTAGTGTTTGCAGCCAGGAGCCCAATGTCTTGTGTGTTTCAGTTCCCTTTTGCAGTACCTCGCAGCTGCTGGGCACCATGGCGCTCACGGCCACTGGGAAGACACCAGAGTCAGACCTGCCAGCCGCCAGGCCCGGCGAGGCCCAGGATGTTGGGACACCCACGCCGTCCCCACAGGAGGCCCCACCCGCAGCCCTGCACTGGCCGGTCTTCGGTGTCCCAGGGAGCACATCTATGCAGCCCACAGTGGGTGGGCACGGGACTCCCACTGCTGGTGACTCTGCAGCCCTTGGGAAGCCTTTGGAGGGCTCCCCACGGGGCCCAGAACCGGCCACGAAGAGCCCCTCTGTGCAGAGCCAGCCCCCACCCAGCTCCTCCCCTGCCCTGGATGGTGAGTGCACCTACCCCTTCCTTCTCAGCGGGCTCCAGGGTCCCCTGGGGACAGCTGCTCCGAGGGCTGGGACTGGACCCTCCCGCGGTGGCCCTGCCTAGACGGCACCGGGTGCCGCCTTCCCCCTTCCACTCTCCCTGTGGATTCCCGTGGGACCCACGGTTTTGTCTCATGTAGACTTCGAAGCCTACTACAGTGACATCCAAGAAGCAGAGCCGGCCAGAGGACGGCAGCCAGGTGACCCTGCTTGTGCTGTGCCCCCGTCCGTACCCCATCTTCCCTGTACCTCCTTCCTGCAGTCTGCATCCCGTGCGGCGTGGTGTGCCGCAGCGGGACTCCCCGCCTGCTCTCCTTTCCCAACCTGCTGTCCAACCACATGGGGCTGTTGGGGTCACAAGGACCCCATATCTCCTCCTGGGGACACTGCCCCGGGCTCTTCCCACGCTGTCCCCCTCTGAACCCCCACTCTCCCAATGGCCCTACTGCCCCACGCGCCGACTCTGCCCATGTGGAGCGCCGGCACCATTGTTTAACCCCCTGGGCCTTTGAGGAAAGCTCCATGGCCAGCGTCCCGCCCCCATCCCTGCAGCCATCATAGCGCCAGCGCCGGCGTCCACAGAGGGTGCAAGTGAGTGACAGGACGTCAGGAAGCCACGCGTTCTCCCCCTAAGGCCGGGCGGCCCCTCGGTGGGTGACCTGTCCTCCAGAGAAGGTGGGCGGTGAACGAACCGGTGACCTCCCCGGTGACAGACAGGTCAAGAAGGGTCCAGGCCTCAGATGGACGCACGGATGGTGACAGACCTGTCCACTGGACAGACAACCCGAGGACGGGCAGACGTCGGGTCTGTGGCGTGGAGCGGGGCGCCCCGAGCCGGCCGGGCTCCTCTCCCGGCTCCTCTCACGGTGGCCCCTTCGGCCCCGTGGCCTCCTGTCCGTCCCGTGTCCTGCTGCCCGTGCTCCAGCGTGGGACATGGCTGGGCAGCCGTGGAGGATGCACAGGACAGGCGGGGGACACAGCTCAGTCTGCTCCAGGTCCCGGACATGGAGGAGCCCCCCACAGGCCGTGTGGGGCAGCTCGGGGTGGCGGGGTCACCAAAGACCAGTGCAGGGACAGCAGCGGTCTCTGCGGGGGCCTCCAAGGGAGGCGAGATGGGCAGAGGCAGCACCAGGTGCCTTACGACCAACCGATGGGACAGTCCCCTGGGCTCTGCACCTCGCGGCCGCACCTGCCCTACCAGGGCTAAGCAGAGCAATGTCATGTTCCAGTGTGGCCGTCACAGAGGGCTCTCGCCCTGGACCTAGAGTTTGCATCTCAGGATCTGGGCTTGGCTGGACCACTGCTATCTTTAAAAGTTGGCTAAGCTGTGTGTGGTGGTGCATACTGGCTATCCCAGCACTCTGGGAGGCTGAGGCAGGAGGATGGCAAGTTTGAGCTCAGCGCAATCAACTTGGCAATTTAGGAAGACCTTGTCTCAGAATAAAACTGAAAAGGACTCAGGTGAAGACCTGGGTTCAACCCTCAGTATGACCAAAAAAAAAAAGAAAATCAGCCAGCCTAGGGGATGTGGTCTCTGCTTCACCAGAGAAGGGTTTGGTTGCCGCTGTTTCTATTTTTGGTTTGTCTTTAGGATATCAAAACCTCACGATGTACAGAAAAGTGTTTAAATGTGCAGTCCACTGACAGACCCACTGGGGCCGGAGCTTGGTTCCACCCGCTGTCCCTGCTCTCCCAGTCGCAGCGTACAGCCTCTGTCTCTGTCACTGCTTCTGCCCCTGAGCCGGTCACCTTCTTGGATCCCCTGCCCCTGGGGCCTCCCCCACCGCCTGTAGCTCTCCAGCTCCTGGCCACGCTCTGTCCCCACCCCTGTCCCCACGCTGGGCGCTGCAGCCCAGCCCTGCCTGCGCCTTCCTGCACCCAGATCCTGTCTTCTGCGTACTCGGCCCCCTCCTCGCCGTCACTGTCACTGTCTTTCCTCTGCTTCCTCCTCCGTGTCTCAGACGCCCTCCATATGACGATGGCAGACCTGGCCTTAGAGCTGGATGATCAGAGTGAACACCTGCGGAAGGAAGACGGAGGGAGGGGTCATTAGATCGTGGATTATAGAATAACAAAGTACGTCCTCTCTGTCACGTAGAACCCTGTATTTTCAGGGCTACTTTGTCATCTTGTTCATTTATCCATTTGCAATTGCACATGGTTGAAAAAATCTCACACAGCGAAGGTGCGCCCCGTCACATCTGACACACACACGCCCCAGAAAACGACTGCTGCGGGCGGCACTATGTGAGCCCCAGCTCCAGGCTTCCAGCAGGGCTTCGTTTCTGCCACGGAGGAAGATTCCCAACAGCACAGTCAAAATCCGCTCTGAAGCACTCTACAGGGCCCACTCACGACGGTGCCCTCTGATTTCCGTGCATTCGCGCAGTTTTGAAAAGAAAAGGCTGGCGGTGCGCCCAGTAGTTTCCTAACCGCTGTTTCACTTGGCAGAGCATAGGGGGCGCCTGGCCACCTCTGTAAATTCCCACCGGCAGCGCGGTCTCCTGATGAGATACAAAATGACGCTTTCTGTGCCTGCCACTGCCCTCTCCCCCAGCCTTCCTCATTGTCTTCAGTGGAGGAAGACGGTGTTGGGTTGCAGACAGCGACATCCACCAGCCTAGGAACAGTTATAACGGCAAGGCTGAGCCAGTAGAAACAACCAGGGCTTTCTGCTCTTTAGTTGCTGCTGGCGCGTGGCGGTGCGTCACGGCTGCAGTCCTCCGGGGAACTGGCACGCGCGCGCACGCAGGCCCCGCCTTCGTCATTCCTCTCCCTGTCTTCTCCCATCCTGAATCCCCTTCCCATTTCTGCAAAGTCCCCGCCCCTGTTTCTATCAGGAACGTTTTCCGTCTTAGGCAACAGCGCCCGCCTCCCGGGATCGGGACCCAGTGCAGAGGCAGACGCTGCCCAGGGCGGCCCCGGGGAGGGGGACAGCCTGCTGGGCCCCTTTGTCTCCGCGGACGGAGCCCCACCTGTCCTCACCATCGACTGGCCCAAAGCCCCAGTCCGCCGCGAGGTCTTCCAGGGTTACACGGCAGCAGGTGGGCAGGCGCGCCCTTTAGATTCGGGGATCTGCGGGGGTTTCCACGGTGGCATCTTTACGCTCCTTTCCTAACAACACCCGTGACCGGGTCACCCCCAGCCTCTGGGGGGCTCTGCACGTCACACTGTTCCCCGACGGCTCCCTTCTCACCTGACCTGGAAGTGTGTCCGGAAATGCTATGGCAGCACCGTGATGTGTGAAACCCTTCCTGTTCCCGTTCCTGGTCTCTGTTCCAGATTCCTCCTGATTTCAGGGTGAGGAGCACAGGGTCAGCTGACGAAATCCAGCCCCCAGGGCAGTGGCTGCACCCACATTAACACTTCTTCATAGCTAATATTCTGCAAAGACTTACAAGTCCTTCTGAAATACTTTAATGGTATTTCATAATCAGCCAGACGCATGAAGTAGAACATGACTCAGAACCCACCACAAGGGGGCTGGGGATTTAGCTCAGCGGCACAGCGCCTGCCTGGCAAGCGCAAGGTCATGAGTTCGATTCCCAGTACCGGAAAAAAAAATAGAACCCACCACAAGCACAGAAAGTAAGCACTGGAGTACCAAAAAAAAAAAAGGAAAGAAAGCATGCACTGGCCAGGGCTCCCTCTGTGCAGGAGTCGTCTCTGGCCCAGGGTGACTGGTCCCCCTCTGCAGGCTTCTTGGGGTGCAGATAGGGGCCCAGCTCTGTAGGTGAGGGAGCAGTGTCACCCACACGCAGGGACAGGACGTGGAAGCTGGCATCTGACTTTCACCCAGAGCGAGTGCAAACCTGCTCCAGGACCCTGTCCCGCTCCTGGGCTGGAGCCGCTGACCGCGCTGCCCTGTGGCCACCTCCCCGTGTCTAGGTATCACCAAGCCAACTGTGACAGTGCAGCCGTACTCCCTGCGCAGCGGAGAGACGTACGTCCTGCAGGCGTCCGTGGGTGAGTCTCTGGCGGTGGACCGGGTGCGAGGGAGCTGTGTTCCGTCTTACTGGTGTTTCCTCCTGAATGGCGCCCTTCTCCCCAGCGCCCCTTCCCTGGTCCTGCCCTGCCTCGCCCTTCCTCTCTGTCCAGAGGATTTTAAAGGGGCTTCCTGGCAATGTGTTTGTTACAGTAACAGTGGTTACAGTTTGCATTTAAGTGTTCACCGGAGTTTTGATCGCACCTCCTATGTAACCTCCGACCAGGTGTCCCTGCGGGCGTCCTGTGGGCAGTGTGAGTGTGAGCTCACCCGCCCGGCTCACCCTCCCCAGGCCCACACCCCTCATTCCGTTTCCCCCGAGATCGTCATTTGGGTGACTCCTAGACATTGCCCTCTGCTTCGAGAGGCCTTCCTTCCATTTCACAGCCGCAGAGGAGTCCACCATTTGCATCCATATCTAGAGTTGGCTCAGTATCTATGTTTTTGCACTCATTAATACCCACTGTGGGGAGGCTGAGGCAGGAGGATCTCGAGTTCGAGCTCAGCCTGGACACCTTAGCAAAACCTTGTCTGAAAATAAAAAAATTTAAAAAGGGTAGGCGATAGAGCCTGAGAGAGCGCTGGCCCAGCACACAGTGGTCCCAGGCGTAGTGTGGACCCTGGCAGCTGCCCTGCATCTGCTCAGCACTCAGATGCTAAGTCCTGGCCCCGCTCCTGCCAGTTCCACAAACACCTTTGCCCTCTACTCTGTGGCACCTCTGAAATCTGCCGAATCCCCGCCCCTCTCCCTGAGCCATCTGCCCCTCGCACTCAGGCTGCTGGCTCCAACTTGCCTTCTTCTGCGCACCTATCCTGTGCGTGGGTGGCATCGCCCCCGCCCTGGGGGGCACTGCTCGGGTGAAGGGGTCCGTCTTCTGCGGTTGATGTGACTCTTAAATGATGTCACATGCGCACAGTGTCCCCCAGCAGGTGGCACAGGCTCCGCAAACGGTCCCTGCTGTGACAGTGATCATAAGCAGTTTGACATGCGAGTCTCCATCTGTGATTCATGTGAAGAGAAATACAGTACAAGTTTTTAAAAACTTTATGCATGAGAATTGTCACTACAGGTGACTAACGATGCAGGAAGCATAAAGTGTTTCCTCTTTGGGGAATAACGGCTATGTGTACTGCTGTGGAGCTGCTCAGGGCAGCGCTGCGCAGCTATTTGCAGCAGGGTTGTTGAACGCTATATGTTGATTTAGGGGCAGGGTCTCACTATGTAGCCCAGGCTGGCCTTCACCTCTCAGTGATCCTCCTGCCTCAGCCTCCCGAGTGCTGGGATTACAGTGTGCCCCACCACATCTGGCTGAAAATACTTGTGATAGAAATGTAGTTGATAACAATATAAACTCGAGTCAGTGGCACAGATTAACTTAGCTGTCCCGTGTGCCCGTATGACAGAGGCCTTGTTTTTATTAATGTACGCGTGCCGTGTAAGTCTTACCTCATAGTATAGAGCTGGCATACGACAACGCACCCCTCTCCCCTCCTCTCTTCCACCTCCTGGTCCCCTTGCCTTTTGCAAAAGTTTTATCTCCTGTTTCCTATGATCTGTCTTTTGTCTTGCTCTTGAATTCATTCATGCTTTGGGGTTTTCCTATGAGAGAAACACACGACGTTCACACTGTGACTGATTTATGTCACCGACATGGTGGTCTCAGGAGTCCAGCAGATGAGGTCTGAGGCTCGGGGTGACATGCACGCACCTGAGTCCCGCCCCCTGGGCTGTGTCTCTCCGGGGACACCACGCGGGTCTGTCCTGTCCGCCCTCGCTGCTGGGCTCCGAAAGTTCAGGTCTCCGTGTGTTAATCACCACATGGGGTTCTCCAGTCCCACGGCTGCGAAAATTCCCCAGAGGGCTGCAAAGACACAGCTGCTGGGTCTCAGTGTGGGGTGAACCCCGGGAGCTGCCTGTCTGACCAGCTCCCGAAGGACACTGAGGCCGCTGGTCCTGGGACCCCACTTCCAGACCCTGCTGTAAGACAGGAGCTCTGAAAGCGTGACCCACAGCTCCACGGGGTTCTCCCCGCGGCTGAGCATCCCCCATCTCTCTCAGCTGCAGAGTCCGGCTTGCAGGGCCGCGCCCAGCTCTACGTGTCTGTCCGCCCTGCGCCCCAGGACACCACCTGCCAGCTGCAGCCCCACCGTGGGCGGGAGGCCCTCACGGTCTTCAGCATCTTCTGCATGTCAGGGACACCGGTACGTGGCCAACCCGGGCTGCGCTGGGAGAGGGAGACAGTGACTGCCCTGGGAAATTTCAGTGCACTCTCTGCAGGGCAGGCTGAGGCAGGAATGTTTCTACCCCAGAAGAACTTGGGACAGCAACTGAATGTTGAAAAGTTGGGGTGAACAGGGCCCCTTCCTTTCCTGCTAAACAGAGGAGAGCAGACACCCTGGATAGGTGGGAAAGAAAGGAGGGCAGCTCCCCCTCGGGCTGGTAGGGGCTCTGCACTCACTTGGAGAAGTGCTGGGATGAGAACAGCGCTTCCTCCTGAGCACCAGGAAGGAGGCTGAGACACCACAATCCCAGGCCCCTTCCCTGGCTCCTCACTGTGGACAAGGCCTGCGCTGCCCCTCCACCCCACTCACCCTTGCCGCTTCTCCTCTGAAGCCTTTGTCCTCATGAGGGGCCAGGCTCTGGCCTCCCTCGGGACCTGCTCCCAGTGACCTCTGCTCTGGACAGTCTGTTCCCCCCTGCTCCCCCCACGGTAGCCAGAAGCTGAGGTGCAGCTGAGGGGCCTTGATGGTCTGACTCATGACTGTCAGGAGTTACCAGGGTCAAGAGAGCTAGCTGACCCCGAGTGAGGAGTCTGCTTTCTGCAAGAAGCCCTTAGACAGGGGGACAGGAGAGCCCCTCAGGGCAAGGAGGCCCCAGGTGAACTGTGTAGCTGAGGCCCATTCCTTGCCATGATTAACCCTGACTCTGCTATAGAATATGCCTCTGGGTGCCATGGAGGCTGCAGGTGCAGCTGCACTTATCCATAATGCCATCCACGATGTGTTCCGCTCTCCTGTCTTTGCTCCTCATAGGATTTTCATTATGAATTCAGTTACCGGATAGGAAACACGTCCAGACACACCCTGTACCGGGGGAGAGACACCCAGTACTATTTTGCCCTGCCTGCTGGAGACCCCTTGGACAATTACAAAGGTAGGTCACTGGGAGAATTGGGGTGATTGGTTGTACCTATTGACAGTCACAAACCTCTCCTGGTTTCCACAAAGTAAAAGTTCTTAAAACTATGTGTCTAAACCACGTGTAGTGGCACATGCCTATAGTCCCAATACTTGGAAGGGCTGAGCTAGGATTAATGTCTGTTTAAGGTCAGCCTGGGCTACACTGTGAGTTGAAGACCAACCTAAATTACATAGCAAGACCCTGTCTCAAAAAACAAAGTCAAAAACCAAAAAATCCGAAACAAAAAAAAACCCCACTATTTGTCTAGAAATTAAAATCATTTAATCACCTTGATAAGTTTAATACTTTTTAGTTTAGGCCAATAATCTACCTTTTCACACAGGAAGGACATTAGGAATCTCGCATTTCTTTTCTTTTTTTTTTTTTGTACCAGGAATCAAACTCAGGACCTTGCACTTGCCAGGCAGGTGCTTGTGCTACTGAGCTATCTCCCTGGCCCTAGGAATCCCTCCATAAACTGGCTTTTTATATCTTAAATTGTAACTAAAATGTAATATAAATGATAAAATGCCCCAGACTGTTTTTAGACATGAGTTAAGTAGGTGAGACCAAGATATCCTTTATTTACTAAGGAAATATGTCATCTCTGGTGAATTTTGCATTTATTTGAGGTGACACCAAACCAAGGTACTCCTTATCCCAGAAGGAGAATGTGGGGTAAGTCACTATTGAGTTAGCTCGTTATAATCCTCGTGTTAGCCGGCCTTCCATCCCTGTAGCAAGTCCTAAATTCCTAAGTCAGTTTGGAAAGAGGACAGTTTTTGCTTCAGTTTGTGGTCTTGGACGTTTCATTCCATAGTTCATTGGCTACAATGCTGTGGCTGGCACCACCAACGTGGCAGAGTGTGGAGAAGGAGGCCTGGTTACCTCGTGGCTGAGTGTGACAGACAGAGGAAGAGAAGGAGCCAGGGTCTTTATATCCCTTCAAGGCCACGCCCCCCATGACCCAAGACCTCCCATTAGGCTCCACCTCTTAAAGGTACCATCACCTCCCCATAGCAGCACTCTGGAACCAAGTTAAACAGATGGGCCTTGCTGTAGGGGACATCCAGGTCCACCCCACAGCAAAGTGAAGCAAAGTGAATCCCATAGCGTCAGCTACTTTCCCCCCGACCCTGCAGCCTGAGGACCTGTCCAGTTCCAGACCAGCCCTTGCAGTGGGTCTCACCGGAACGTATGGGAATGGGAACATTTGACACAGGCTCTGGTCAAATGAGAGTCCTGGGGGTGATGTCTGTGCTTTTGTTTCATTTTTTGAACTCCTGTGTGAGTCCAGTGTGCAAGCCAGGTTGAGCGTCGCTAGTCTGGAAGTTCCTTTGCTGTGGGCGGAGGAGCCTATTCCAGCCTGAAGTCTGCACTCACTCGCACCTTCTGTGTTCAGATCTCACCGCTGCCAAGCCCCGCAAGCACACTTTCTTTGTGAGGCTTCCCCACCACCTCCGACCGCAGCCCTTGCACACTCTTCTAGATTTAAGTCAAATGGAGTGAGCAAGGTGCTGCGTGAGCTTTGTGATCATATTCTGCTTTTTAAAACAATCACCATGATTCTGCCTTCCCTCCTGAGGAGCACAGAAGATGCTGGCTGAGTGGGTGGAGATGGTGCTCGTGGGCCTAACTTGATCAACCCTTAAATACCAAATCTGCATTCAGCCTCTGCCTTCCCGAGATTTTCGCTTAGTGGATTTGCCTTCCAAGCTCTCCGGTGTGTGGTAGTGTAGGGATGGATCCCACAAGCTGAGTCGAACAGGATGTGTCCAGGATGCCCACTGCCACAGGTACCCTGCTGGTGGCCGCAGCTGTACTAACACCTAGAGTACCGCACAATGTGTAGGGACACGAAGGACCTCTGTCTGCCAGATAGCCACAGGCCATGGGCTGGACAGATGTCCAGATAGGAGACCTGGGGAAGGGTCTCTGCTCCGTGCTGGAAGAAAGGGGTTTCTGACATAAATGTGCAGAACCAAATCTCAGGTCCCAGTCCCAGAGCAGTGCGGGAGGGTTAGCGATGTGACTCAGCTCCTATGCTCGTGCGGCAGTTGCTCGTTATTGTCCCTGTGAGTGTGACAACTTCCCACAAGCGTCCAAACTCAGGGTTTAGAAGAGGGTAGACGTAAGCCAGCTGCATGCAGCGTAACGGGCGTTAAACACACGCCTTATCTCGTCCTGCCTTTCGCACACGGGGACGGGACATGAGCTCTGTGTCACTTCTGAGTCTTCTGCAGCCTGCTCCGCCTCTTCTGTCCCCTGTCGGATTCGCAGGCCCGGCATATCCACGGCAGGGATGCTTATCCCAGGGCCACACGTCGTCTGCAACTCAAACCCTCAGGGAAACGTGGAGCCCAGAGTTCGCTTGCAGACAGCTTGGGGTGCAGGCATCCAGGGGCCACGTCCTGAGAAGCCCCGACCTCTGAATTCAGTCCCAGCCCTTAGCACAGGGTTTCAGGTCCAAAGTGTCACACAGACACCCAGGGTGCCTGCGTGGGGGCTCCTGTGTGGCTCACGTGACTGTGCTTGTGACCCTCACCCGGTGACGTCATGCCTGAGCTCACCTACAGGTTGCCGCACCACCCCCTCCCTCTGTCGCATGAGGGAATTCCTGGGACCCCAGCATGGCACTTCCTGGCACATCGCAGTGTCTTCATGCAGTTTTCCCCTGGTCAGATCCTCCTTCGCCTCTTTTTTAAAGGCCTTTTAAACCTGGAGTGTGTTAAAATGGAGCCCTAACCCTTGAGTCTGGAGCTCACGCTCCGGTTTCCCATGGGGCTGCTGTCCCATGCAGCATTTCTTACCCTGTCACTGGAGGGGACACGCTGGCGAGCGGGCACCCTGCTCGCCCAACATCCTGTGCTGCTGCAGGTTCACCGCGCCGCGGTCGAAGGGTGTCTGCGCCACGAATGACCCCGCTGTTCCCCGACCCCTGCAGCGTGTGGCCAGCGTGTGCTGCCGCCTCAGGGACGGCTCCTGTCTCCCTCGTCTGAGCGGCACTCGTCTCCTTGTGCAGCGCTCAGATTTCATGTCGAGAGCACGATCTCCCGAGAGGCAGGGACAGCCTGAACGCTTCCTCCCTGCCCTGGCATGTTTGGTGCCCTGTAGCTTCACGGAGACCCCAGCCCGCAGATCAGCAGGGGTCTGCTCACTGGCTGGTTGGTATCCACCAAGCAGCACCTTGGGCAGGAAGACAGACTGCTGTTCCCTCTCATCCTGAACTTGGCCGGGACGGAGCTGCCCTGTCAGTGTGTGAAAAGGCCTCACCGCAGCCTGCGTGTCCCCAGGGCAGCTCTGCTGCGTCCTCTTCCCCTACAGTCGTGGTTTCCACTGAGATCGCAGATGGCCAAGGCTCCAGGGTACAGCCGTGCTCCGTGGAAGTGACTGTGCTGCCGCGTTACCATGGGAACAGCTGCCCCAGCGAGGACCTGTGAGTAACTGCTCTGTGACACAGACATCGTATTCATGTTTCCTTGGAAGCCGGTGACAGGGTGGAGAAAGTAGTGGCAGGAACTCCCTGCATGGGGTGGGCAGGAGAACAAATCAGGGTGGTACCAGGGCAGTCCTGCCGCCATGACAGTCCTGCAAACTGACATCTACAGGGCATATGTACTCCTGCTCCGGAGCCCACAAAGCTCTTTTTTAAAAGCTGAATTGAGGTGTCATCTGTAACCTGTCCCCACTAGACGTCAGATAGTTGGCATTTGCTTTTCTATCCAGTCTGACAGTCTTTGTCTTTTGGTTGGGTTGTTTGACTCATTCATATTTAATGTTATATATTAAATTTAATGTTATATATATTATTAATATGGTTGGCTTCATGGGCGCCATTTCACTTTGTTTCTACATGTCTGGGCTCTAAGTACCACCTCCTAATTATTAGGGTGCTTGTGGAACATCAGCCAGCGGTAGCCCTTGTGGCATCGTGGACTCTGGACTATAGGCCTTCATTGGTGATGGTGCTGCTGTATCTGTTTGGGCTTTTGTGCCTTCCGGTTCAGATCAAAGGGCTTGGCTCGGACTTGGGTGTAAGATTAGAGTGTCCTCTGCACAGACCAACTCTCCACTGCATCTCTGTCTTCTCTGCCCCACCACAAAGAATGAGCTCCACCCCAGCCTCAGCAAGCAGGGTGAAGAGTTTTGCAGTGCGTTGTGACAACCGTGACAACTCTTGTGCTTCCTTCAGGTACAGTTCCAGCCTGAGGAACCTGTCTACCCTCCAGCTGATGGGGAGCGACATGGAGATCAGGAACTACGTCGCCATGCTCACCTGGATCCTGAGTCGCTTGGCTAAGGACAACACAACCACTGCCTGTGACCGGTGGTCACTGATACAGGACAAACTGATTTCTGCAGTGTGCACATTAGCTATTGCAGATCAGGTAGGGCCCAGAGCTAAGGGGTCAGTGTGAACCTGGGTCAGGTCAGAAGGCCTGGGCCTGGTTGGCTGTCATATGAGACATTATAGGTAGGAAACACAGGCAAGGAAGGACACTAGGTGGGCCCTGGCATGGCTCCCACCCTCGCTGTCTCACGCTGGTCATCTCTCCAACGAGTGCTGCTGGTTTAGGAAAGAGGAAATTCTATCATCATTCTGCATAATTCTGCTATCAGTTCTACAAGGAAAAGTTATGTATATCCAGTCTGTTTTTGTCTTGTTAGCAGCAGTGTCTTAGTCATCCTGCCTGGTGCTGAGACCCAGTACCCAACGGTCACAGCTTAGGAGGAGAGGCTTAATTGGGCCCACAGGTCAGGGGACTCAGTCCATGATCAGCAGACACACCCTGGTGGAAGGGCCTGATGGAGGACAGCTGCTCATGTCATGGGGCCAGGAAGCAGAGGGAGAGGGAGGATTCTGGGGGGTGCAACCTCCAAAGACACAGCCCCCCCACCAACTCTTACAACGAGGCCCCACCTAACAGCATGTTTAGCTATGGATTCACCATGGACCCATCCAGTGCTGAGTACAGCAACACCATGATCACATCGCCTTCCACAAGCCCCAGGCCTGAACACACGTGACTTCTGGGGGACATTCTAGATCTAAACATAGCAAACAATATCCTTGAATGTTAATTAAGGTCTCTTGGTGTACCCTGGGGAGGAATGGCGGCAGGAATGAGGAAAAATAAAGAGACAGGAGCTGGGTGAGGTGGAGGCAACCTCTTACTGATGGGCAATAGGACCTGCCATCCACAGCAGGCGTGTTAATCTATACCCTTGCAAAGTTAGTATCTCAGAGGCTGGGTTGCCTAGCAACTAATGACTGACTTGTGCAGGCAGGATGCTTTTCCCAAGACTGAGGTAGCTTGACTGCTGAGGCACTTGGCTCTGTCCTGCCCTCACATATACGACCAGTTTCCAGCTTCAGCGGCTCCCAGCGTTAGTCCTGACTTTGTACAGCTTCTTGAGAGATAACCGTGTATTCTAAGGTTCGTGTGCTTGCTCATGACATTTCTGCAGCTGCCTTACAGTGGTCACTGCAGACATTCACATCTATGAAGAACAGGTCTTGTTCACTGTAATTCCGAGGCGCTTTGCTTGAACCGATAGTTTTCTCCCCACGCTGTTCCCTGTGCTATTTTTAGCATTTCCCTTCGTTCTGTTCTCTCATCTCCTCCCACCTCACAACGGTGTCTTGATGGGGCCTGGGGACACTGCGGGGCACAGAGGAGGGAAGACGCTAGGCTGGAGGCAAATGTGAGGCCGAGGTCACGCTCTTGCTGGGGAAGGCCGCTCCTCTGAGAGGCGTGTAGTCTGCTCTGTTTCTGCACAGCAAGCTGCAGCTCTGGGAAGAATTCAGCTGTCCTCTTCGTTATTATTGTTTTGTTTGCTTGCTTGTTGGTTTCTGCCATTCAGGATGAAAGGATTGATTCTGCTCTTACACTGAGGAACCTCGTAAGCCTCCCGATCAAGGTACGTGCTACTTCCTTCCAGGGAGTTTTCCTGATTTTATGACACAGTTGGGAGGACCTTGATGAGTTCTTGAGAAATAGACTTACAGTTCAGTTACACTTTGACACTTGGATTAGAAATACAAGGTTGATTGAAAAATAGTGGGAATACTTAAAATTTAAGAATAGAGTAAAAGACATACTGCCATGAATCCCCCTCTGTGGAGGACCACCTGAGTGACTCTCCTTGAAGGAGGAGCAATTGTCTCCATTTCAGCTGAGCCTGACCCTATTTCCATGTACTGATATGTACAGAGCTGGCCGGGACTTTTCCTTATCCCTTCATTTGGCTTTAAGTGGTGCATGTCAGTCTAGCCGAGGTGCTGATGGTAGTCCTTGAAGACAGCAGACGTGTTTCCCTGGACCCCTGTTGTTCCCATAAGTGAGCCGGGATGGGGTGGGATGTGTGAGCCATTGCTCCACACTATCACTGAGCCTTGGGATAGACTGCTGGGGGCTTCAGACATTACATGTCAGAGGTAAAGCATCGACCCCAAAACATTAGACACTATCTCAGTTGTGTCATGCAGATTACTCTCTCTGCAGATCCTTCTCTCTGCATTTGCAGAGGTGATCTCAGCCCTCCTACCTAGCCCAGCTCAGGGCACTCACCTGCTTCTCACAGTTCTCACAGTTCTCACAGTCACTCGTCCTCAAGCCACTCCCTTCTTCATGAATCAATAAGGCCTGGGTTGAGGCCTTTGTTCCGGATGGCCATCATTGTGTCTGGGCTCAGGGCCCCTTGGCTCCCCATAACTACAGATGTGCCTTAGTGTCTTTGATTCTCGCTGTGGGTTGCACTGGAAGTGGTAGAGTAAAATCAGCTCACTAGAATTCCAATAACTTTCCATGGGATCACAAATACAAACTTCCTGGACCACGACAAGGACTGGGAAGGGCTCACTATACCCTGCAAAATCTCCCCCTCATTTGAAACAGGCTGATCCCATCGTTCTTGCCACTTTCTGAAGCAGCTCTGGAGTCCTCTTTCCTGAGGGTCTTTACAAGGCGTGTTCAAAAATACGCTGACTGCTGCTGCCGAGTGCCGTCCAATATAAAGGCAGGCTCGTAAAAACAAGCCAGCGTGTCTCCTTCAGCCTCCTCACCCACCGGCTCTGGCACCGGCTGACTTCTGGCTCTGCCTCCAAGTCAGGGTGGCCATGAGAGGGAAGTGTTTTGAGTCGGTTCAGGACGCTGAGGCCGCCAGGACTGTGCAGCAAAGACACCCAGGGAAGAGGACTCCAGAAAGTGCGAGAAGGAAGGGCTTGGTGTGTCAGAGCGGGGGGTTCCCAGGAAGGTTCGTGGCAGCGTGTCTTCTACTGTGATAATTTTTTAAAATTAAACATTCCCCGTGCGTTTTCAGTCACACCTCACAGCGTGTTCATGGGTGGTGGGAAGGGAGCTGGCGCCGATCTGTGTCTAGGGTTCAAACCAGGCGCATCTCCACGCACGAAGGACCTTGGTGTGGGGACCTCTCATTTGTCCTTGATCCTCTGGACGCCAGAGAGCAGACGGTCTCAGAGGAGGGCGCCCTCGTCCCCGGGCCGGGCGTGGAGGCGGTCCATCTCTCTTCACCCCGGGGTCAGCAGCCTGCCCGCCCGGTGACGGTGCCGTCGCCCCTCACAGCTCCGGTTTCCGACTGCGGCGCGCATCCTCAGATTCGCCCGGGCGCTCCTTCGAGACCAAGCCCAGCTCCCGGGGAGGTTTGTGGGTGACGGAGGCCTCGGGCTTGAGCTCATCCTGCTAGTCTGCAGAGTCTGGGAGGCCGCTGAGCCCGGGAAGTTGGGGCACGAGGACTTCGTGCAAGAGGAAGGCATGAAGGTCATCTCTGAGGCACTGCTCGTAAGTGAGACTTTCTCCCCACCCAGAAAAACTGTGGAAGGTCGGAGGTGTGGCTCAGGCCTATAATGGAGGCTGAGGCAGGAGGTGGTGAGTGGGAGCCAGCCTGGACAACTAAGTGACTTAAGAGAGACCCTGTCTCAAAACTATAAAAGGGGGCAGAGGTGGTGGTGGTGGTGTGTAGCTCAGTGTAGAGGCCTCAGTTCAACCCTTAGTTTAGGGAAAGTTCCCGAGCTGCAGCTGAGGAGAGGCGCCGGGGTGGAGAGTGTGCCTGGTGTGTGCAAGGCCCCGGGTGCGTCCCTAGCCCCAAACTACAGACAAATGCAGCAGCAGCAACCTCGCAGCCGCGCCCTCCTCCCAACCTGAGCCTGGTGTGTGACCGTTCCCCAAATTAGATGCAGTTTCTGAAGGACTGTGTTTATCATGCTGGGAAGCAGCTTGTTATTTGGAAGCTTCTGACTGGAACTGTCAAATGTCTGTGGAAGGTGTCGGTTCCCAGTGTTTTGATCGGTTTTTGTTTGGATAATTGGGAAGGTGTTCGAGGTAGAAAAACATCACTTATCACAAAACCATCTGTGTTTTGAGTGATGGTGTGAACTAATTCTAATGATTTCTTACGTGTGTTACTTTAAAAAGTAGCCCTGGTGGTGCACACCTGTCACCCCAGCACTCAGGGAGGCTGAGGCAGGAGATTCAAAAGTTGGAACAAAGCCAGGGTAACTTAACAAGACCCTATCTCAAATAAAAAAATGGGAAAATGGTGGGTGTTGTAGCCCAGTGCAAAGACCCCGGGTTCAATTTCCAGTATGAAAGAAAGAAAGAAAGAGAGAGAGAAAGAGAGAAAGAAAGAAAAGAGCTGGGGATATAGCTCAGTGGCACAAGCACCTGCCTGGC